GTAGCAAACACACGGCAACGCCAAATGGTCACCCGATCACCAAAAGGTATTCTTAAACCAAGTCCTCGTTATGCAAATTTACATATCTTGCATAAAATTTCAAGCATTCCAATAAAGCCCAAGTCAGTTCGATTAGCACTTAAACATCAAGGATGGACCATTGCAATGCATGAAGAATTAAAAGTGCTTGCAAACAATGATACTTGGGACCTCATGCCCGTACGAAAGATATGAATGTGGTTGGATCTAAATGGGTGTTCAAAACAAAATTACATGCTGATGGGAGTCTAGAGTGCCTCAAGGCGTGTCTTGTTGCCAAAGGATTTCATCAAATAGCCAGTGTTGATTTCTCTGAAACATTTTCCCCTGTGGTGGAAGCTGGGACCATTCGTACTATATTAGCAATTGCAACATCCAAACAATGGCAAATCCGACAACTAGACGTGAAGAACGCTTTTTTACATGGATATCTCAATGAACCGGTGTATATGGAGCAACCACCTGGGTTTTTGGATCCCAAATTCCCAACTCATGTTTGTCGATTAAAACGTGCTTTATATGGGTTGAAACAAGCACCACGTGCTTGGTTTGATAAACTTAACAAATTCCTTTTTAACATTGGTTTTTTTTTTTTTTTTTTTGCAGCACAACAGACCCATCTCTCTTCATTTGTCATTCAAATAAGGGGACTTTACTTCTTCTTATTTATGTAGATGATATGATCTTAACAGGAGATAACTCTGAATTTCTTGAGCTGTTTATCTTTCAGCTTAGTCAAGAATTTGCTATTAAAGATCTTGGTTGGCTCAATTTCTTTCTCGGCATAGAAGTTCATTACACAAGCCTTGGTTTGATTCTATCTCAATCCAAATATGCACTAAACATTCTATCCAGAGCACAAATGAAGGGTTGCAACTCAATCTCCACTCCTATGGCGCTTAAAGCACATTCCTCACATTCTAGCAATGATGCATTTCATGATCTAACTCATTATAGGAGTATTGTTGGGACACTTCAATACCTCACATTTACTCGACCAGATCTCTCATTTGCAGTCAATTATGTTTGCCAGTTCATGAACATTCCTACAATCGAAAATTACCAAACCATCAAGCGGATATTAAGGTATGTAAATGGGACTCTCAATTATGGCTTACAAATTCCTAACCAAAGTTCCTTGGACTTGTATGCCTTTCCAAATGATGATTGGGCTGGGTGTTCTTTGACTCGCCATTCCACCTCTGGTTATTGTACCTTCTTAGGAAGCAACCGTATTTCATGGTGTGCAAAGAAACAACCTGCAGTGGCTCATTCAAGTGCCGAAGCAGAGTATCGATCTATGGCTTCAACAACTGCCGAAATCACTTAGCTTGCACACCTTCTTCGTGACATTAGAGTGGCTCTTAACAACACCCCTATTCTTCATTGTGACAACTTGAGTACAATATATATGACAGTCAATCCAGTTTTTCATAATCGCACCAAGCATGTTGAAATTGATTATCATTTTGTTAGAGAGAAAGTTGCTCTTGGTCACCACATTACTCAGTTTGTCAGTTCTACCTCACAATTAGCTGATATCTTTACAAAGCCATTGACTAGAGACAACTTTCACTAACTATGCAGCAAATTGGGTTTTGTGTCTCTGCCACTACCCAATTTGAGGGGGAGTAATAAAATCTCAACTTATAATTCACATGGGAATGCTTTGACTCATGAGGATCATTGTGTAGAACCTTCAAAAGGAAACAAATCAAATGGCAATAACGCTTTGGAGGAAAATTAGCAATCAAAGAAATTGTAAAATGCAACTGTTGGAGATATAGCCGTTGCAAATTTATATTGTAATCATACCTTAAAGCATGTTATTTACTGCATAATGTAACTATAAATGGAAGAAACTCTCTTTCTCTTCTCACCTTGAGAGAGAAACTTTGATTTCAGATATTTCTAAGCATCAATGAACTGGAAATCTTTCCTTTTTCTAATATTCTTCAAGTTACTTTAGGAATTGGTTAGAATTCAATAAAAACGAAAACCACATGAACTTGATCATTGATCAGGAAAGAATATATTGATGCAATAACGAATGTGGAAATCAAAACGTTGGAGGATGCCATGTCTTAAATTTCATTGATCAGGAAAGAATATATTGATGCAATAACGAATGTGGAAATCAAAACGTTGGAGGATGCCATGTCTTAAATTTCCTAAAGCATTACCAAGAATCATTATCCACCCAATGAGTCCTTATTCCTATCAATCCATGGATACTAGTCTATATAAGGACTCATGTAGATAACACACTTTGCATCAAACCGACCAAAACACACAATTATCAAACTTGCTTCTGAGTTCTAAGTGAAGAAAAAAATGTCAAAAATGGCTACGGCTATGGCTTGTAACCTTACATATATCACTCGAGGAATACAGTCATATTGTTCTTAGCAGATGCATCCATTATATGTGGTTTCTGTTCACAAATTGAGTGAATACTATAATTAATAACTATAGGGAAAGGTAATCCAGCAGTTGGTAACTCTAAATTGTTTTTGCTTTTCCTTTGCATGATGGGGACAAAGTAATTATCTCCTCAATCAAGGAAAAGACAATGAAAATAGGCTTGTAGATATGATCAATATGTAGGAGCCAAATTGGATTGTTTCGGTTTTCTGATCTGCCACTTTATTATTCTTTTCCTGGAAACTTTAAATTTCAACCTCTCTCCAAAAACTTGGAGCCTGTGAAAGCAGAAACTAGCAAAAGGGTAATGCAAGAGCTTGGTACCTTATAACATAAACATGTCAAATTATGTTGTATAATGGGTACTATATATAACCTTTATACAAAGCACATAAAATGAGCAAAGCGAAAAAACATATCCTGCTACTGCGATTTAGAAGCGAAGATATTGTTGCCACCATGGGAGGACAGAAACCAGGGCCCCTGCCAACATGGCCATTGTGAAAAACATTAGCCATTAGGAGTTGCTGGTGTGCTTTTTCGGCGGACAGGCCACAACAAGGTGCGGGTGATGGAGCATGGAATGGAACAGTGGTGACTACTCCGGTGGTATCAATAATTAATCCCAGTGGACATATCAATTTCTACTAGAAACAATATCTGTGCGAGTGTTTGCATAGTGTTAATTGCAGCAGATGTATAAAATTGTGCATCTATGCAAATTTAAAAAGCTTAGGTGGAACAAAAATAAAGAGGATGCATAATTGATGGATAAACTATTATACATGAATTATGATTCAGTTACACAGAACTCATAAACTATTATACATGAATTATGATTCAGTTACACAGAACTCCTACACATATCATTTACATAAAATTTTAATTATTTATATTTCTATATGATTGAGATTTATCCACTTTTCATCATTTTTTTTAAGGATAATTGTCTTTTTAATCTAAAAAGTTGAGATAAATCTCAACCATTCATGATAAAAAGATGAATTTTCAACATTTTATATAAATAACATATATAAGAGTTGTGTCACCTTTGTGTAAGTTAGATATCCTAAGTCCTAACTTATATATATATATATGAAAAAATGCATATTAATCTCGATACCTAAAAAAATTAAAGTCTCAAGTTTAAATGATATTATTTCATTTAATTAAAATTTAATTTAAAATTAAAAAATCTACATTATTAAATATTGACACTTAGATCTAGAAATTAATTATATATTCTAATATAATGAATTTATAAATCTATACATCAACATTTAATAAGGTAAATATTTAAATTTTGAATTGAATTTTCATTTGCAAACATAGAAAGTAACATTTAATATTGAATTTGAATTAAATTTTAATTAAATGAAATGTGTTTAAAATTGAGATTCTAATTTTTTTTAAAATCAAGATTGATACGTACTATTTTCATATATATATATATATATATATATCAACACACATTCCACTTCATTCTCTTAATTATAAATTTTAAAACTTCTCTAGCCCTTTGCTTAACAAAAAAAAGCATAAGATCAAAAGCTAACGGTGTAGACCACCATTTTCATATTTAAGGATTCAAAATTAATTGTATGTTAAGATTGGAATTTGGAAACAACATAAAGGTCTTTACATATTTCAGATCCTTTAATTACAATTTGCAAATAATTATTCAAAGCTAGCAGAATCTTGGCTTGGAAATTCTTGGTCCAACTCACTAGACATTGTTCCACATCTAAATGTTCTTTTTTTTTTTTTTTTTTACAACATAAAAATTAAAGATTGAACAATAAACTTATGACTAAAAATAAAGATAACTTTATCACCAAAGTGCATGGTCCACATTTATTGTTCTTTAATTGATAGTCTAACAGTTTTGGACACCAAACTTTTGAGAGTTTAAAGTCTCTTAAAGTTTTTTTTTTTCTTTTCTGTATTTTTGCTAGAAAAGAGATCTCATATTAAAATTCAAACATATAAGGTTCCCACAACCGAAAAAACCAGGAAAAACAAAGTATAAAATTTGTTAAGTGTTAAAAGTCTCACATTAAAATAATAATAAGAAATATGTGAACTTAAACATAAACGGATTACTCCACAAATTGATATTTGATTTCATGTTAAATATCGTTGTTGTGTTTAGGTCCACCTGACACACATGAACTGGATTGTTTATCAGGAAAGAATATATTGATGTAACAAATGAATGTGGAAATTAAAATGTTCAAGGATGCCTTATCTTAAATTTTCTAACGCATTACCAAGTATCTTTATTCACTCAGTGAGTGCATGTTATTTTAAATCCATGGAAACCAGTCTATATAAGGACTTCAAGTAGAAACAATCTAGCTGCGAGGGTTTGGTTCTGTGCCTAATTATAGCAGCAGAAGGAACTACATAATTCCTGTTGTTATGCATCAATAAATTATGCTGCTATATAGATGCTATTACACATGATGTTGGCAATGAAATGAAGTACTACTGGTATTAGAGATCTCAGCTTCTGTTTCAATTTTTGCAGCATAGAACAATTAAAAGCATCAAACTAGACAAGAGTTAACATTAATTAACCATAGCTAGAGAAAGGGGGAAAAAAACACAAAGTCTCTCTGCTGCTATAGATGAAGACAGCATGCGTCTGTGCAGCTATGAGTTATTTAAGATAAGGACACAAAGAAACAGAGACTAACATGCTTGTAACCGTACATACCACTCTTGATGAACAGCTGTACTGTTCTCAGCAGAAATATCCAAAATCTCTTTTGTGCCGAAGTTTAGTGGATATTCTGCTTGTTTGTTAGGGAAGAAAACCCCAAAATGTTTCTCCAATTCTGGTTGCTTTTGGTTCTCACCAAACATGGCAAATAGGTTAGGTAAGTCTCTATAGCTCTGCCAGGCCTCGTTGGGGTACCTCCTTTGACATGGTTCATCAAATTTGAGTAGTACGTGCGTAAACTGGACCATTCATCCGGAAGGCATATATTGACTGAACAAATGTGGAAACGAAAATGTTCAAGCTCAACGTGCCTTACATTTCATAAAGCATTATCAAGAATCTTTATCCAGCCAGTGAGTGCTTGTTACAATCGAATCCATGGATAAGTTTAGCCTACGTAAGGATTCCGGTGTATAACATATTTAATTTGCATCAAACTGATGTCCATACCACATAAATTTCAAATTTGTTTCTAAGTTCTAAAAAAAGAAGAAAATCACCACAAAACTTTTTATCTTTGGGGACGCCTAAAATCATGCCCGTAGGAAGGGACTTCCTGTGTGTCTAGATTAAAGGATTCAGAGGGAAAGAGAAAGAGAGTGAGGGAAAAATCTCTCTTTTCTCTTTTTTGTTTAGATTTCTTTATTAATAGACAAGAAAGGAGATGGAGAGGTGATATAGGTCCCTCTGCTAGTTTGTTTTCCATCCTCAAATCAAAGGGATTGTGACGAATTTAGTTTACACAGTTAATAATTTTTAGTTTTTTAAAAAAGCAAATATATAAAAATATTTTATTTCAATTATCCTTTTTAATTAAGAAATTTTAAAAATTATATTATAGTTATTTTATTTTATTTTTTAAAATTATTTAATTAAATAAAATATTCTTCTTCTCTCTCTTTTCCACTTTCACCTATTCAAACAAGATTAATATCAATACTCTTCTTCCATCCATTTCTTTTCCCTTCCCTTTACTAATTTTTATCCAAAGGAATACCTAAAAAATCATGCATACGTGTATTCCCTATATACTAAATTCGCAAGAGTTATTGGGGACACAATTTTCATCCTAGAATCAATTGAGGACAGATCTTTCAATTTCTACTAGACACAATATGTGTGAGAGTCTGACTGAGAGTGTTTGGCTACGTATTGCAGAGGGTATTGCACAATTCTTTACGCATACATAAAAAATTGTGCTGTTTTCCAAAGCAGAATCTTGGGTTGGAATTTCTGGTTCCAATCATCTAGCGGACGTTTATTAATTGTTCCACGTACAATATTAGTTCTTTTAACAGAATCTTAATAGTTCAAGCACAACATTTTCTAAAGTTAAAATTTTGAAGTTTTGTTTTTTTCTCCAATAAAAGAGATATCATATTAAATAGAAGCATAAAACATTCATTACTGACTCATATTCGAAAAAAGGTAAAGACTAATAACCATAAAAACTAGGACAAACAAAATAAACTTTTATGTTTGGGTGGTGCTATAGGGACAATTTTTTTGTCCCTTTTTTTATACAACTTTTACATGTTATTAAATGAGTTGATGCATTTAATATCACGAGTCTCACATGAATTAAAAGACACAATCGTTTTAATGACACATCAGATTATACAAAAAAGTGAGACAAAAAGATTGTACAAAAAGCATTTCCGTTTATGTTTATTAAGTGATAAAAACTTCACACTAAAATAATAAAAAATTATGTATTTAAATATAAAGGGTGGTGTTATAGGGACAATTATTTTGTCCTACCTTTTTATACAATTTTCACATGTCATTAATGAGTGGATACATTCAATATCACGGGTTTCATATGAATTAAAAGGACAAATCATTTTAATGACATGTCAAGTTGTACAAAAAATTGGGATAAAAAGACTGTACAAAAATCATTTTCCAAATATAAAATGAATTACTCCATATATTAAAAAGGGAAATAATATTTACATAACATTTTTATTTCACATTTTTTGTACAACCTAACATGTCATTAAAATGGTTGATTATTTTAATTTATGTGCAACTCATGATATTAAATGCATCCACTCATTTAATAATATAAAAAAATTTATTAAAAAATGGGAAAAAAAATTATTCGAAGAGCAGCACCCTATTAAAAATTAACTTTATGTTAAATGTTGGTGATTTGTTCAGATCCACGTGACACAAACCTTAACGGAGCAGGCAAATAGATAGAAATAAAAATCAATATAACTAATGCATATGTACCATTGCCCAACATACAATGTACAAGGAAAATATGCGAAGCACGTGCACCGGCCCGCAATTCTTCAAGCATCAGTCAACTTAAAAAACTTTGCTTTTTCTAATATCCTCATGCATCTATATTCCTGATAAACTTTTTTTTTTTACAATATCTTATTTAAAGGTATAAATTTTTTATTTTCTATTTTTTAATTATATATTTTATAAATTTTTATCAATTTTAATTAATATTATATATGTTTAGATATTAAAAAGAAAAAAAAATTCTTACTACTACAATATAATACAATATAACATAGCACCACTAGACTAAAGGTATGTTTAGTATTACAATTGAGGGTTTTTTTATAGTCATATGGTACTATTGAATATATATATTTTTTGGTAATTTTTTAAAACTATTTTTTTTTAAATATGTATAAAGTTACAGTAAATTTACAGTAATTTTATATATAAAATCAGAAATTTCATCTAATTGTAGTTTTCACGAACAACACATAATGTTTAATACAATTATAAAATTACTCATTAAAATCCAATCTCATTTAATTCAATTGTACCATAATTTATAATATTTTATTTAAACCTTGCCCCTGATTTATTTAAAGATTTTATTAAAAAAAATTAAAAACTCATTTCCTCTTTATAAATTGCTCTCTCACAAAACTCAAAAAAACATTCATCATAAAAAACTTAAAAAACCTGAATTATTAAAAAGTAGTAAATATTATTTATTTTAATAATTATAGATCATATAATATTTTTAAAATTTTTATTAATAATTAAAAAATTTA